GATAGGGTCTTCCTGTCAAGTGATTTGTGCAGAGTTGTAGTGGTCAACTAACAAAGATCACTGATTAACAGGGATAGCATGCAAGAGCTGCAGTGTAAGAAGGAGATCTCCCTCCTGCTGTGATCACAGGACTGGTGAGAGTATTTTGTGAAACTTTATGTTGTATTAGGTATACTCTTAGGTGTTAACCCCTGCATTTGGGACTCCATTGCCTGACACTAGTGCCCCACCAACTCACTTCCTTTCTGCCACCACAGTACCAGGAATATATAACCTGGCAGCTGATGGCACTCTTAACCCATCACTGAATGCTAGGTTAAATGGCTCAAAGCTTCCAGCCTAAACTACTTAAAGACACTCAGACACCTGCACCTATAAAACTTCAGATTAATGCATGGACCATCTTCTATGAAAGCCTTTAAACTGTACCCTCAAGTCGGTTTTCCCCTCCAAACCAATAATACCACTTACTTCCTGTGAGAAAAAAAAAACAAAAAAAAAAACCCCTAAAACAAACCCACACCACTTACACGCAATGTTGGTTTTTATTTAATTTATTTATAGTGAAGAAATGTTAAGGTGCATAGCTGACAGCTACCACTACAGCTTCTGCTTAACTTACTGTTACAGATTGTTCCTAGTGACTCGTAGTCCTCCACATTTTCACATACTACTTGCCATCGGGAAAACACAGAATTCTGACTGAGAAGGTTAGCATCAAATATACTTCTTGCTCCCATTAGATCATCTGTGCAGATGTCACACTCATTTCCACCAATAGCAAAGTTCCAGTATGGTAGGGCAAAAGTAGGATCATCAAGTAGCCGCTAGAATGGAGAAGGAACATTTTATTTTACATACACTATGTAGATAATGTACATATTCCAGTAAGTGGTTACAGTGTAGGGTTGGTTTCTGGGCACTCTTTTTGATTAAGGTGTTCCGCGGACTGAAGTCAAATTGGAATAGAGAGAAGTGCACAAAATGAAGCCTATATTGTTCAATGCCCAGCTGCAAGTCCATTTATATGTCTCCTTTAAAGTGTTTTATCAAGGGCACCGAGAGAGTTTTTGTCTATGGTCTTCAATAAATATGTTGTCTAGCACTGTGCACAACCCTGCATTCCAAGGAGTTATGTCCTTTCTCCATCTCCCCTCCTCCATTTGTGTCATGTCAAAGTTGGGCAACTGCTACTTAGAGGCAGCTATTGTTACTCTGAAGCCTCCTTGGTATGAAGAAATTACATTTGACTGACAGGTAACAAGAGATTTTATGTACATGTTCTACAACCACAAAATGTTGAAGGGGACCAAAAGCAAAAGACCTACCTGTAGGTCCTTTTCCAGCTGTATCAAGTGGTATCTGTGCCAAGTTAGGAAAGCTGGACCTTCATGTGAAAAATCTATCCCACCAGCACTCCCATTACCCAGGCCAAGAAAAGTTTTACTGACAGAGTAATAGTGAGTCCAAACAAAATAGTCATAGACCGATACATTTTCAAAGTTTGTAGTGTTTTGAGTGAAGTCAATGAGCTCAGCATAACGTCTGGTAGCTATGACAAAGTCGGGATGTATAGTACTCTTTGCAA